GACGCACTAGCACCTAGAGCAGCAGCCGCACTAGCACCTAGAGCAGCAGCCACAGTGCCCGGGTCGGGCGGGACACTCAGGTAACAGTCACCCTCAGTAATATCAGCAAGAGCATACATGGCAGCAAGGATAGCATCAAAGTCTAGATCAAAGATAGGCACATTCTGCAGAAGCAGATCATGCCAACGAGGAAGCTCAACGGCGTCAGGAAACTGGGCACGCCAAGCGTCAGTCAAGCGGCCGAAGCAGCGCTGCGTGGTGTGTGGGAGACCACACACCTCCCCACTCCGAGTGCCGGTGCGAAGAACGTAAGAGCAGGGACCCGCACCCCCAGACCTCCCACGCCCAGCGTACCACTCACGAAGCTGCTGAACCGACGGGGTCTCACGGGTGCGCAGCTGCTGCTGGCGCTGGCTGCCACCAAGGCCTCCACGCTGCGTGGCTGCACCGCGACCAGCACCACCTCCTCCGCTACCTCCACCACCGCTGCCGCCGCCTCCACCTCCTCCGCCACCGCCGCCACGGCCTCCACTGCCACCACCGACGCCCCCACTCCCGGTACCACCCCCACCACCACCTCCACCTCCTCCACCTCCTCCACCGCTTCCCCCACTGCCCCCACCACCACCCCTGCTTCCCTTGCCCTTGCCGGTGCGGCGTCGCCCACTAGAGGCAGACGCAGCGCCGACCTCCTCAGTGCCAACGAGGTCGACAGCAGCAGCAGAGGCAACAGAGGGGAGAAGGGGGACAGGGGAACACCCCTCAAAGAAGGGGGTGCGACGGTCGCCGCGAGAAGCACCAACAGCTAAGATACTCTTCTCAGCTGCAGCAAGGCGCTCCTCTAGCAAGTCGACAGTCAGCTCGGTGGGGCAAAGGGAGAGAAAGTGGTCCCTGACTGAAGAGAGAGAGTCAGGGAGGCGGGTGACTAGGTAGTAAAGGGTGATGTACATGGGGGGGGAGTTCGTGGGAAGGAACGCAGTGGGAAGGGCAGCGCGGTAGCGGGCGTCACTGGTGCGAAGGTGAGAAACCAGGTCAGCAACTGTGGCAAAGGCTGCAAGGTGAAGAAACAGGTACGGCAGCATGAGGCGGCTGAGGGCAGCAGTGGCAGGGGAGGAGTAGCGTGCAACTACAGCATCGTACAGAGTCTTAGCACTCTTGTACTGACTAAAGTGCGCGCGCTCAGTAGACGGTAGGTGACTACGCACAGCAAGGCGGGCAGCAGCATCGCGCGTGGTCCACTGCGAGCGAACAGTACTGTCAGCATCAGCAGCAGGGGCAGTAGAGGCGCCAGACGTGAGATCGAACAGTGAGAGACCATCCTTGCTATCGCACTGTAGGAAAAGCTGCAGATCATCTAGCTAGACCTCAAAGTCAACTGCTCGACCCTCAGCGTCAAAAGTAAGAACACTGAGACTAGCCATGACAGGAGCAGCAGCAGTGCAACTCAGCTAAGCAGGCTAGGCAGGGCAGCGCGGCTCGGTAGGGCGGCTCGAAAGGGCCGCGCGGCTCGGTGGAACGGTGCGGCTCGGCAGCGCGGCTTGGCTCGGCGATGCGCTTACCAGGGGCGAGGCCGGGGCAGGGCCGGGGGAGGGTCGGGGCAGGACTGCGACAGGTCCGGGGTAGGGCCGGGGCCGGGCCGCAGAAGATCCGGGGCCGGGCCGAGGCAGGGCCGCGGCGAGGCCGCGACAGGTCCGGGACAGAGCCGCGACAGGGTCGGGGTAGGTCCGGGACAGGGCCACGACGGGGCCGGGGCAGGACCGGGGTCGGGGGAGGTCCGGGACGGGGCCGCGACAGGGTCGGGGAAGGGCCGGGGTCGGGGCAGGTCCGGGACAGGGCCGGGGTCGGGGCAGAGCCGGGACGGGGCCGGGGAAGGGCCGGGGCGGGCCTCGAAGGGGCCGCGACGGGTCGTGAAGGGGCCGCGACAGGGGCCGCGAAGGGGACGCGACAGGGGCCGCTACGGGCCGCGAAGGGGCCGCGACAGGCCGTGAGGGGGGCCTAACGGGCCGCGAAGGGGCCGCTACAGGCCGTAAAGGGGGGGGCCGCGTAGGGGCCTAACGGGCCGCAAAGGGGGGGCCGCGACGGGCCTAACGGGCCGCGAAAGGGGCCGCTACGGGCCGCAAGGGGGCCGCTACGGGCCGCAAGGGGGCCGCTACGGGCCGCAAGGGGGCCACTACGGGCCGTGAGGGGGGGCCGCTACGGGCCGCGAAAGGGGCGGGGGCCGCTACGGGTCGCAAAAGGGGCCACTACGGGCCACGAAAGGGGCCACTACGGGCCTTGCCGCTACGGGCCGCGAAAGGGGGCACTACGGGCCGTGATGGGGGCCGCGACGGGCCGTGAAGGGGCCTCGAAGGGTAGGCGCGACGCGCGCGTCGGGCAGGTAAGGAAAAAAAAACTTTTCGTGGTGGGCCCTTAGGAAAAATCGAAACTAGCTCTATACCATGTGAGAGAATTGACGAAAGAATTAATGAACTAGAAATGAGATGGGTACAAGTAGAAAACACAAAAGTGTTGTACCCTCTAAGAACTACCCCACTACAGCCTAAACAGACTATAGTAGATATAAGTTTGACAGGTTTGACTCGCGAAGACCTGACTGGCTGCACGTCTAGTCAGGATCTGCTGGCATGACGTGTCTTTGCCTATGTGTGCACCCATAATATCGCTTGCGCGAGATTTTGTTTTGTGACGCTAAAGCATTTCGACTCGGTTGAAATGGCAAGAAGAAAATGAACAATTTGGTGATCTAAATATATATTTTCGTATTTGTCATTATATAAGCGCCAGCGCTTATGGCCGTTACTCAATTACAAGCGCCCCCCCTCAAAAAAATGATTTTATTATAAGCGCATATGCGCCTATATCCGGGGTAATACGGTATAACCCCCCAGGCCAACATGCCTGTAACCCTTCCCTAGGATCAATCGGGGATCACCAGTGGACCTTTTGTCAGAATCCCAACCACTAGACCATTGGGATAAAAGGGCTTGTTATGTAGCGGGTCAGTGCGCCCATAACCCCCCAGGCCAACATGCCTGTAACCCTTCCCTAGGATCAATCGAGGATCACCAGTGGACCTCTGACACCCCCCCGCACTGGGATGCCCGAAGTGCACACACTGGGATTCGAACCCGAGACCTTCGCTTTGATAACATGTCAGAATCCCAACCACTAAACCATTGGGATAAAAGGGCTTGTTAAGCAGCGGGTCAGTGCGCCCATAACCCCCCAGGCCAACATGCCTGTAACCCTTCCCTAGGATCAATCGGGGATCGCCAGTGGACCTCTGACACCTCTGATACCCCCCCGCACCGGGATGCCCGAAGTGTACACACTGGGATTCGAACCCGAGATCTTCTCTCTGATACCATGTCAAAATCTGAGTCACTAGACCACTGGGATAAAAGGACTTGTTAAGTAACGGGTCAGTGCGCCCATAACCTCCCAGGACAACGAGCCTGTTGTTGGGCTGAGAAATAGCCCTTAGGATCTTTCAAGGCTAAGATCTTGTTGAAGTAGGAATGTTGTAGTTGCGGAAGCGTAATATCAGAGTTTGCTGAACCACCTTGTACTGGTGTGTGAGAACAAGATAATTTGTTAATAGCAGGGGAATACAAGGCTTTTATAAGATTATATTTTAACTGTTTCTGCTGTTGTGGTTCGATACAGTGACGACTCGTGTAACTGCTCAGTATCGAGTCAGTTATGTGTCCTTGCTGTCGCACTGCATTTTTTCGTCAGGTCAAAGGTCAGTGACCTTTGACCTTCACGTAACCTCCAGCGGTTGCTTTTGTTGACTTGCGTGTTGTTTCGCTTGTAGTCTGCTCCGTTTCGTGTCGATACTTCGATTACTTCAGAAGCGTTAAGTTATTTGTTTCCAACACCTGTAACCCTTCCCTAGGATCAATCGGGGATCACCAGTGGTGTCAGAGGTCCACTGGAGATCCCCGATTGATCCTAGGGAAGAGTTACAGGCACGTTGTCCTAGGGGGTTATGGGCGCTCTGACCCGCTACTTAATAAGCCCTTTTATCCCAATGGTCTAGTGGTTGGGATTCTGACATGTTATTAAAGCGAAGGTCTCGGGTTCGAATCCCAGTATGTGCACCTCGGGCATCTCAGTGCGGGGGGGTGTCAGAGGTCCACTGGAGATCCCCGATTGATCCTAGGGAAGGGTTACAGGCAGGTTGTCCTGGGGGGTTATGGGCGCTCTGACCCGCTACTTAATAAGCCCTTTTATCCCAATGGTCTAGTGGTTGGGATTCTGACAAGTGGACCTCTGACATGCGGTGCGGTTTGTTCAATTGAGTCAAGCGGTTCGGGATCCGAAAATGGAATTATGTATATTTTTAAAAGCTGTAACGCTTTTCAAAATTATGTATTTTGAAAGCGAAGCTGCTTGTAATGTAGGATTTGGCAGCGTCGAGCCGCGCTAAACGCCCGTTTTGTAGTACAAAACGTGGGCTGGAGGTCATTTCCCTCCACCCACGTCTCTCATTTTCAAACGGTTTAGCCGATTTTTTCGCCCCCCCCCCCCCCCCCCCCCCCCCCCCCCCCTCGGACACAGGATAGCCGTAGGAACATAGAGGCATATCTTTGTAATATCACTATGGATTTCAATTGTACTAAACCCATTTGAAATGAGACGATGCCAATTGCTACATGCAAGAAAGCAAGCTTTCTAAATGGTAGGAAATTGGAGGGTGTGAAATATGAGTTGGTTTTTGCTCTAGACCCTATCCAAACATAGGAAAGTGCAAACGAGCCGTTCTTAAGCGCATAATAACTCCCTACAGCAACCCTGCATACAGCAACACTTTTAGGATGCCTATTTTTTTCCCGGAAGCAATATAAATGAAATTTCATCTCAACAAATAAAATATTAATGCTGTTGTCTGATCCAACCCCTTCCAACAAGAACACAACCCAACACATCTACAACACGAGCAGAAGTAAACTACAATACAAAACAGATGGCTGTTCGATACATCGCATATCAGCGCCTTAATATCGCTGCAGCAAATCATTCGGCCCCTTGCCGCTGCCAGCCGCCTCCAGCATCATGCTTGCGTTCACCAACCTCCCCTTCACACCAGTGAGCGCATACTGCATGAGCGCATTCAGCGCAACATATATAGGATCCGCCTCACGAGCTGCTTGCGTGGGGAAGCCCCAGGCGGCTGAGAAGAACCACTGCTGCGCGCCAATCACAGCGTAGAAAATGGGGCAGTCAGTGCTGCCAGCGGGGCACGTGTTGGAGTAGCCGCCAAGAGGGAGGGAAACGGATGCGACAGTGGGAGCAGCGGGAGGAGGAGGGGATAGGGGTGGGGATGGGGGAGGCGACGGGGGAGGGGATGGTGGGGATGGAGGAGGGGAGGGTGGCGGGGAGGGTGGGGATGGGGGCGGGGATGGTGGTGGGGAGGGTGGGGATGGGGGTGGGGATGGTGGAGGGGAAGGTGGCGGGGAAGGTGGGGAGGGTGGTGGTGGGGAAGGTGAGGAGGGTGGTGGCGATGGTGGTGTCTTCTTCTCCTTCTCCTGCTTCTTTGCCTCCCTAATTGTCATCGCCTCTTGCTTCTTAGCGATCGCCTGCTCCTTTGCCAGCTTGGCCGCCTCCTTCTTCGCAATAGCCTCCTCTTTCGCCTTCTTTGCCGCGTCCCGTTTCGCAATCGCCTCCTCCTTGGCTTTCTTTGCAGCCTCCTTCTTTGCGATTGCCTCCTCCTTGGCTTTCGCCCTCTCCCTCTTCGCCTCCTCTCTCGCCGCAATCGCGGCCTTTCTCGCCGCAATCGCCGCCTCTCTCGCCTTCCTCGTCTCTTCCTTCGCCTGCTTGTCCGTACTGCTGCTGCTGCTCACAGTCGTCCCAACGGGCGGAGGCTCGGCACTGAGGAGGCGGCGGCGGCCGGAAGAAGCAGAGGACAGGGCAGGCGGAGAGGTCTGGTAGAAGATGACCAGGCGGCTGGAGGCGGGCTCCTCTGTGGGCGCCACCGCCATCCACGTGTAGTCCAGCCGGAAGTTGAATCCGTCAGCACTGGAGAGAGGGAGGGAGAGGGAGGGAGAGGGAGAGAGAGGGAGGGGGGGGGGGAAGACAGGGAGGGGGAGAGAGGGAGGGAGAGGGAGAGAGCGAGGAATAGGGAGAGAGGGAGGGAGGGAGGGGGAGAGAGGCAGGGAGGGGGAGAGAGGGAGAGAGAGGGAGAGAGGGAGGGAGAGGGAGAGAGGAAATGCGTGTTGAGGAGCAAGCAAAGAAATTTAGGGCTGGCAAAGAAGGAAGGAACGAGAGGTTGTGGAATGTACAAGAGCAATGATAGCTGGGAGAGATTATCGCTCAATGCCGTGGTTGAGTGGGTTGCAGGGCTCACGATTGGGAGAGAGAGAGGTTGGCGCCGCCGGGCATGTAGGAGGAGAAGCGGACGTTGAGGTTGTACGTGAGAGACGTCATGGGGATGCCTATTCCTGCCAGGCGCACATGAGGGGAAGGGCATTACAAGAACTGTGGGAAATCCATAGTGCAGTAGTCAGCGGTGAGAAGTGCAAAGCACGAGCAGAGTCCAGAGCATGCGTTGCTCTGGGCATTCGGTGCATGCGTTGCTGTCTCTGCCAGGAGGAACGCACGCACCGAACGCGCCGGCATGAGCAATGCGGCAGGCTCACCATACTGCATGAACGTGGTCGGCTTGAACAGTTCCGAAACCGCCGTGCGCGCAGCGCCCGTCTGCGAGTCACTGTACGTCATCGCCACGTTCGGGTAACTGCCCGCAAGAATCTTGATGTACACGTTGTAACGCTCCGGGTCATTTCCGGGCGAAGTCCAGAATATCCCGTTGTAGCTCTGGGAAACGGAGTGGACACCCGCCGTCCGCCAGGTGATGGCGCCCGGAACGAGGCTGCACTTGGCCGGGTCGCATCCGGAGACGGTGGTATTTGTGAAGGCGAGAGAGGCGGGCAGGCCGGAGGCGAGGGCCGTGAAGATCCGGTAGGCGACAATAAAGCCCGCCCCAGGGTTTCCTGGCGGACTGGTGGGGGGGGGGGGAGGGGGGGGAGGGCGTATGGGGAGGGGGGCAGGGAGGAGCGCAGGTGAGGGGGCGGGCGTGACGGAGGGGAGGTGAGGGGGCGGGGGGGGGGCGGCTGCGGGGCTGGCGGGGCGTACGGACGGGAGAGAAAGAGGGAAGGAGGGGAGAGGAGGGGAAGGGAGGCGTATGAGGACGGCGTGCAGGGAGGGGAGCAAGTGATGGAGGGAGAGAGAGAGAGAGAGTCAGGGAAACGAAGGGGAGATGCACGCGTAAAAGCGAGATGCGTGCGTGCGTCTGTGCGTGCGTGAGTGCGTGCGTGCATGCGTGCGAGCGTGCACACGCGGCTTACTTGATGCTGAGCAAGATGGCCGCTCGTGACTCGCCGTCGGCCAGGCGCGCGGAGAAGTACGACTCTGGGGGGGTCGGAAGGGCGGAGGGGGAGGGGGAAGGGAGATATTAGGGGAGAAGAACATGGAAAAGGGGAGCGGAACATCGAAAAGAGGAGCGGAAAAAAAAAAAACAAAAAAAACGGAACGGAACGGAGCACAGCGGGGTGGGATGGAGGGGAAGACGACAAGAGGGGAAGATAAGCGGAGCGGAAACACGAGAAGAGATGCAGAAGGAGGCAAAGGAAACTCGAGATGTATCCGGGGGTACTCACGAGCGGAAGCATTGTGTGGCGCTGCGAAGCCTGAGGAGACGAACGGGTGGGGTGAGTGCAGAGGGCGGAGAGGGAGGGGGGGAGGGGGGGGGGGGAGGAAGGGGGGGGGGAGAAAAAGAGGGACGAATGGGGAATTATACTGAGCGCGGCGAGTGAACGACATAGTCGAGCCGAAATGATCTCGAACGGGAAACGATGCCGCGTAATTATATCATGCGTGAAAAACATCTACGAAGCATCATCGTAGTACGACGATGACCTTGCGGAGGGCGGCGTTGGCGGGCGGAAATATGCATAGGGTTGAAATGGGATGGGCCCCGCGCACCCCGCCGGGAATATTTCAATGCACGGTGCATTGCAGCCTCTGTAACGGGATCTCACCGAGCAGCAACAACAGCAGCGCGGGCATCGCGCCGAGCAGTCGCATTGAGGCGGCCCGGTGCCGCGCCGCTATCGACATCGCGATGACAAGTTCGTCGGACGAACCAACTTGAAGAGCTTCGGGAAACGGGAGCTGACAAAAGGGGGGTTCGTGAAGAAACCAAACTAGCAGCACCGCCGACCAACTGCGAGAAGATGGAAGTATTGGATCATATACTTGAGTAGAAGTGCGAGTAGTGCTGCTGGTGGAATTGGAATGTGCGTTCTCGAGGAGAGGAGCATTCCGCCACTGGCGGTAGCACAGAGACAGCCGCACGAACGTGCTGAATTGTAGCGGCGTGGCTGAGGGAAGACACTGCGATGGGCGGGCAATTGAGGAACGGCGGGAAGCGTCTCGGGGCAAGGTGGACATGTCAAGGATATGCCCCGCCCTCCCATCCGCCAGTGGAGGAATATCAGCCGGCATGGATTGGACATAGCGCGCTTGTGTGGATGGGTTACAGTTCATCGTCCCTTTATTTTGAAATTCCTCTGATCATTCACCTACTGTGCTGTCAACACCAGCTGCAATCCCCTGAGTGCTCACCTGAGCTGGGGTTCAACTGACCACCACAGCAGATATATTTTGGTGTTGTTGGAACAATATTTACACTGTAATAACGAGGATGCGCAAATGATCGTGAACCTGACCGTAGATTGAGCCCATCTGATACAGACCAGGACATCGAAATTTCGAGGTGTACTGTACCTGAAAGGTCCAGCAACCCAGCTTTCGCGCGGCGCAGGTATAGAAACTAAAATCCAAGGGGATCTTCGTGAACGGATGCCATTGGCGAACGAATGGTCTCTGGAGGTCTCAGGAGTCAGCAACTCACAAAGCATTTGATGAGCAGACAAACGAAACGAAATGCCAAGTGGGCGCTTTTGGAGGTATGCCGATTCGTGTAGCATTGGGTAGCAGCAACATGACATATACGTTAAGGTGATTCCATAAGTATACGATTTCAGGATTTCAAAACAAACAAGAAAGTGGAAAAATCTACTCCCACAACCAACAATCGCTCATGTAATTGATACCCAAATGGGTTCATAATAAATAACTGGATATTCGTAATGTCCAAATTATCGCGTACCTACATATTATTTGCTCAGCGAGGTTTCGTGTATTTTACTAGACACTTTGGGTTTCTTTCTCCATGATCGCCAACTACCTGTTGCACCTGCATTGCAACGAACGGTTATTATCGCGTGGAACTTGGAGAAAGGCAATAAGGGAACTGACAACAGAAGAATAAAGTCGCACTCGCACATCAAACAAGAAGCCATAGGGAGGAAGGATAGGCAACAAGACAAGATCTGTTGCCCCTGCAAGACAAGGCTGCACGACTGCACATGGCAAGACACAAAAAACAGCCGCACAACCGCACTGATCACAGCAAACAGCCGCAGAACGGCGCAGAGCAGCACAGAAAACACCCGCACAACCGCACAGGGAAGGCCAAGTGCAGGTGCAGGAGCGGCAGCACATACCACTGCAACCCGAAGTACAGAGCACTTGAACCTTGCAGTGAAGTTGGTCTCCCATGCATGCGTCTGCACAGCACACAGCACCCAGCATGTAACAGGTAGAGTCGTACCACACGGACATGTAACTGGTAGAGTCGTACCACACAGACATGTAACTGGTAGAGTCGTACCACACAGACATTTAACAGGTAGACCCGTACGACACAGGCATGTAACAGGTAGACTCGTACCACACAGGCATGTAACAGGTAGAGTCGTACCACACGGACATGTAACTGGTAGAGTCGTACCACACAGATATGTAACTGGTAGAGTCGTACCACACGGACATGTGACAGATATCTGCAAATCCAGCGGACCCATTTTTGCATCAGGGCTGTAAGCCTCAAGCAGCAGATTGCACACAACATGTGCTTAACAGTTACTGGTTGCAACCGATTACATGCATACAATGGTGTCAAAAGAGGACAGGTGGGCTGCGGAGGCCTTACTTCCATCAACTCGTGTTACTGGCAGTTACTGGTTGCAACCGATTACATGCATACAATGGTTACCAGTAACAGGCTCCTATAAGCAGCTAATTTTTTCACACCTGGCCGTGCATTATGATGACATCAGCATCTGATGCGGCATAGGCAAGCTCAGGTGAAACGGCAGATAGGTCAAGGGCCTGGGTGGTCCGGGAGGGAGAAGGAACGGAGGGAGAAGGAACGGAGGGAGAAGGGACAGCAGGGGTTCACAGGGAAGTTGATGTAAGTATTGTAGGTGAAGGGTATAAAAAGCACTCCCAGAACCAGGTGATATAAGATACAAAGTTTTGAGACGTCTCAAAACTAGGGTATAAAAAGCACTCCCAGAACCAGGTGATAGATACAAAGCAGGAGGTTGGTTGGAGGGCGAGCGGAGGGTTGAGGGTGAGTGGGGGGCGGTTGAGAACAAATAATTTTCCAAGGAAAGAAGAACCTTTGCAAGAGAAGGACCCTTGCAAGGAAAGAACCCTTAAAACCAGCCTGCAGGTTTGTTAGTCGACTCAAGAAGCAACCTGCAGGTCGGATCCGGAGTTGAGGATAAGGATGCGACTGTTGTTGATGGCCGTGCTGATGTCACCCTCCGGTACTGCTGCTTGCACCTGCTCATGCCATGCCATGCCACGCAACGCAACGATGCCATGGCATGAGAAAATAACATGGCATGGCATGGTGTAGTACACCATGGCATGAGAAATAACTATGAGAGTTCTACACCATGCCATGCCATTTTCTGCCATGGCACCACGTTATGTTATTACGTCCCATGAGAATGGCAAGATGGAGAAAACGATGGACAGTGCAATCACGCCTTCCTCCCTTCCTCCCTTCCTCCCTTCCTCCCTTCCTCCCTTCCTCCCTTCCTCCCTTCCTCCCTTCCTCCCTTCCTCCTTTCTGTCCCTCCCCCCTCCTTCTCCCCTCCCCTCTCACAACACTTTCCATATGGTCTCCCTCTCACATCACATTACCTGCTGCATGAGATGCAAGAGAGTCATAAGAGGCTTCAAGTGACCACCTGCTGCAACAGAGCTATCAGAGGCATGAGCTCGTCACCTGCTTCAGGAGATTTATCAGGTCCTCGTGTGTGATGGCAGCACCTGACGGCATATCTGGTGCCACCAGAAGCACCTGGTGGGGGAAGGGGTGAGGGGGGAGAATTGCAACAGAAGGGCGAGGGTGAAAACACAGGAAGCAATGACACAGCAGCAGAGCAGCAAAGCAGCGAGGCACCCACCCACCCACAGCCACCCCATAGCCACCCCGCACCAGCCCGCACCCACCCACCCACAGCCACCCCATAGCCACCCCGCACCAGCCCGCACCCACCCACCCACAGCCACCCCATAGCCACCCCGCACCAGCCCGCACCCACCCACCCACAGCCACGCCATAGCCACCCCGCACCAGCCCACACCCACCCACCCACAGCCACCCCATAGCCACCCCGCACCAGCCCACACCCACCCACACCAGGCGAATCACCCACCCCACAACCCACCTGCATGCCTCGCCTGGTCAGATCCCTCACTGCTGGAAGCACCCCCAGCACTGTCTCTCTGCCCGCCCCCGCACACAGCACCACTGCCTGAACGAGGGGAGGGGATATAGATTGGACGGGGGGGAGGGTGAGCATCAGTTCACCACGTGCTGTAATAGCTCCTCTGAAATCCCCACCTCATATGGGAGGCGCATTCGAGAATTATCAAACGTGACTCCCATACACAGTACACCCCATCCCATCCCTTCCCATACCACGCTCGAGTATCCTCCCACACTTGTTACACCCTTCCCTCCCCAACGCCCAAATGCCCCCCACTTGGGGCAAAATGCCCCCCACTTGGGGCAAAATGCCCAACCTTTTAGTTCTATACTACCTTGCTCCACTTGCCCTCACCTCCCCCAATTGCAGCCCTCCCTTCCAGTCCTATGTTACCTTGCTCCACTTGCTCTCCCCTTCCCCACTCCCACCCGTCCACCACTTGTCACCTTCACACCGTACCTTGTTCCACTTGCCCTGCCCTCTCCCACTCCCAGCCCCCCACCCTCCCTTTGAATTCTATGTCACCTTGTTCCACTTGCCCTCCCCTCCCCTTCCCCACTCCCACCTCTCCACCACCTGTCACCTTCGCCTCGCACCATACCTTGTTCCACTTGCCCTCCTCTCGGTTGCTCCATGCCTGCACCGCTGCCCCCATGTCATCCGCCGCCCACGGTTTGGGCGGCAGACTGTCACAAACAGACAAAAAGTCCACCGACCCAACCGCGGGGTCCGCGCCATCCAGAGCGGCCAGATTGCTGGCCAGCATGCCCCGGATGAGGGTTTCGGAGCGGGTGACGTCATCGCTGATGTCATCAATGGCTGCAAGGACGGCTGGTAGCTGTTGCAGAGCCGTGCGTGTTGACTCGTCCTGGCGTGTAGGTGTGTGTGTTTGTGTGTTGGGGGCGAAAGAAAAAAGAAAGGGGGAATGAGGGGAGAAGGGATGGAATGTTGCGTGTGTGCATGGGATGGTAGCTGTTAAGATAGACAGACAACCCTGAGTGGTCGGGCCAGGTGTGATGGGGATGATGGGAGCACACTGTATCTAAAATGTGCCATGACAGGCGGTTGGGGCAGGCAATGTGGGACCATGGCATGGCATGGCTTGGCATGGCCAGGTGTGGCATGGCTTGGAATGGCATAGATTAGCACAAACCTAATACGTATAAATACCTCGCCCTGTCCACATCACCATTCCCCCCCTGCATCACCTTGGCATGTCTGTAAATGTCTTCAAAGCTTAGCTCCCGCAAGCAAAGGTCTCTCAGACGATACAGCAGCTGATGGGGTGGAGAGTGGTGGAGAGAGGTGGAGAGAAGCATAGGGAGGGGTGGGCGGATAATAACAGTGACTTTACACAGAGGAAGGACGGAGAGAAGAATGCAGCGAAGACACACCAACAAACACCTGCCACATACCATCACACACTATCACCTGCCACATACCATCACACACTATCACCTGCCACATATCATCACACACTATCACCTGCCACATACCATCACACACTATCACGTGCCACATATCATCACACACTATCACGTGCCACTTACCATCACACACTATCACGTGCCACATACCATCACACACTATCACGTGCCACATACCATCACACACTATCACGTGCCACATACCATCACACACTATCACGTGCCACATACCATCACACACTATCACGTGCCACATACCATCACACACTATCACGTGCCACATACCATCACACACTATCACGTGCCACATACCATCACACACTATCACGTGCCACATATCATCACACACTATCACGTGCCACATACCATCACACACTATCACGTGCCACATACCATCACACACTATCACGTGCCACATACCATCATGCATGCACCATACCTGCCTGCCACACACCACCACATGCCACATACCAAGGCCACATACCATCACACATTCACATGCCACATACCATTAAAGGCCACATACCATCACACCACCACATGCCACATACCACTAAAGGCCACATACCATCACACGCCACATACCACCACCGAATGCAACGTAACACCACACACCACCATGCACCACCACACACCACTGCATACCACCACACACCACCACACACCATAACATCTGGGGGCCCTCCATGACTCTCGGGGTCTTCACTGAAATCGTCCAACAATGATGCTAGCCTGCCACACACAGTGGCAGCATGGGGACTTAATGACATGGTGGCATGGTGGCATGGTGGCATGGTGGCATGGGGACATGGTGGCATGGGGACATGGTGGCATGGGGACATGATGGCATGGGGACACGGCAACATGGGAACATGGTGACAAGTTGGCAAGGTGATGTGGAAACGCGAGATGGCAGGGGCAACAGATGGCCTCCCTGGATGCGAGCCAGGCACCCAGATGCACTCCATGCTGCGTTGGTAATGCTGCTGCTGCAGGTTGAAATCACTTGTGAGATTTCTCAAGAACACCCATCATTCCCATTGCTTCTGCTCCCTCATCCACTCCACCTGTACCCACCTTTTCCTAAATCCGTACTAGCACTAGAAGAAAATCCACCTTTTGCACAAGTACCCGTGAGAGTCACCTTTCTTCGAATCTGGCGGCCTTCTCTGCTGCGTTGTTCACTGATTTGTCGCTCTCTGCCTGCTGCCTGCTCATCGCATGGCACGGCAGGGTGGGGTGGGGTGTGGCATGGCATGGCATGGGATGGTGGGGCTGGGGTGAGGTGACAGATTTACTGCAAGGCATGGCGCCGTGTGGCATGACATGACAAGGGATGGCGTGGCATGGGATGGCATGGCATGGCATGGCAGAGCGTGAAAGCGCGTGAGATGGAAGGGGGTGCGTAGATTTGTCGTGCATCTGTGCAGTCGACACGCATGCGTTTGATATTTCTGTGCGTAGATTCCGAAAAAAACAGCTCGTATTTGTCGTGCATCTGTGCAGTCGAGACAGCACAAGCACACAGAGGGAGAAGAAGGTCGATCAAGTAATGGCATGGCATGGATGTATGGCACATCACGCCACGCCACCCCGTGGAATGGCGACACTATTATTCCACAGACGCCACACCAACCTCCACAGCGGGATTCTCTCGCGGAAAGAGCTGATCAACGCACTCTCCTTCTCCGTCAGATGCGCTGGGTCGTCGGATTCGCATCTCAGCACCGCGACGGCGGCGTACGCCTTGGGATTCGCGAGGAGGGGGAGAGGGACCGGCGGCGACGCCCACTCCATCGCTCGAAAGATGCTGCGCGGGCACCCGCGTCTGTCGCTACGGTAAGGCGAGCTTCGATATTCCCAAGACAGGTTCCGAACGAATGGGTCGACGAGGTTGGGGGTGGCCTGTTGCGGTTAGAATGGGAGACACGTAACAATGGGAATTCTAAACCCTTTACGTGGAAGATGTTAGAATTCGCGAATCGCCGGCCACGATGAACTCCGGTTGCGACCTCTCTAACGGTCATGAAGTGGAATTTGTCAGGTTCATGAAATGGAAAGCCAGGAGAACGCAGCCTAGGTGTGTTGGGAGGTATTTCAGTGCAGGTGCTGGGACTGGAGGGGTGAGCATCACCTGTCAGGCTGTCCGATCAGCCTACGAAATTATCACGAAAGCCAGTCACTCATGTAACCTTCTCTAGCCTGCTATGCAATTGCCGGTTGCGAAATATGCGACACTGTATTGATTGGGTAGGCGATACGTCGTACAAGCATCGTTGAACCTCGATATTGCCGTAGGACCAACAAGAATCGAATCAGAATTGCAGAATTTGATCGCATGGGACATTCTCGAAAACTCTTTCACCTCACCGCGCGATTACCACTTTTTGCCTTGATCTGGTTTCGATTCCTACTCCCGTCACAACTATACGCCTTTAGTACGGGCATTATTCAGGCAGGCTCTTTCTACCAAGCCTTTGTTAACCGCTGATTAGGCTGTTCTGTTGCTGACTCATGGCGTCAACCGCAGATGACGCCGTGGTTGACGTTGAGGAGGATGAGGAAGAGGGGGAATTACCGTTTCGTTGGGGCGATCCGGCTCCGGGCCTGAGTCGCGGCGGCAAGCGGTTTTATCTATGGTTCGAACAGGGAGGGGAGCGGTTCGACATTTACGACTGCGTGTACTGCCAGGTCCGATGCATGTTCGAACCTCATCTGTCCGGTTTCTTGACTGCTCGATGATTAGCGTTGCTTAGGCGCCTTTCATACGGGATGACTCGCTTACATGTCTAAAAATGTCAAGCTCGTTTTTGAGTATACCTCGCATACACCCGCTGATAGCAATAGTAGACCAGAATTCTAAATCTGAAACCTTTCCTGTATTCCCTGTACCGCGTCAGGCGGAAGAGGGGATGGACCCGTACGTGGGGAAGATCGTGCGCATGTACGAGCTCCCCCCCAGCCGCCGCGGAAAGCGCAACAGCATCGGCGGAAAGCCAGGCGAGCGCAAGGTGGACATCCGCTGGTTCTTCCGCGCTGCTGACGTGCAGGCGGAGGGCGGGGAGCTCCCAAGGGACGTGCGCCCCAACGAGGTGTTCCTGGCCGTTCCCGAGGGCACCCAGGGGGTGACCGACGCCAATAAAGTGGTGAGTAATCGTTAAGAATCTCAGATGGGTGAATGGGTGATTGGGTGATTGGGTGAGTGAGTGAGAGGGCAGGGAGGGCGGGGAGCTCCCAAGGGACGTGCGCCCAAACGAGGTGTTCCTGGCCGTTCCCGAGGGCACTCAGGGCGTCACTGACGCCAATAAAGTGGCGAGCCGAACGGTTATTGAAGCGTCCGAACAAAGTACCGAGTTCTCTCCTCCTTTGCCTCACTCCAGATACTGTCTCTTCAACCCGCCCCTCCCCTCTCCCCCTCAGGGCCCTTCTCTGTTTCAGCACAGAAACTGGAGTGGTGGACTCCTGTGCTCGCTTACTCTAGTTTTGAGGCGCCTCAAAACTAGACCCCTCAGCGCCCTTCGCTGTTTCAGCCCAGATAGAGATTGCCAAACAGATAGTGGTGGACTCCTGTGCTCGCATACACTGCCTGTCTGCCGGCCATCTCTTGCCTCCCCTCCGCCATTTTCTCCACGCCTTCCCCTTTGCCCCTGTCTTTCTGGTCCCCTTTTGGTCGCCCCCCTTTCTCTGGTCTAGCACAGATAGTGGTGGACTCACGGGCGCACATACTGTGTCTGTCTCCCCCCTTGCTCGTTCCCCCCCCTTGCTCTCCCGCTTCCCACGCATCTCCCCCTCACCTTCCTTCGTCTGTGTGGAGAGCACAGATTGTGGTGGACTCACGGGCGCGCATACTGTGCGTGTCGGAGGACCAGCGCAATCCACAGCCGAGTGCAGCGCAGGTGGAGGCAGCAGAGCTGGTGTTCTGCCGTGCGTGGGACATGCAGCAGAAGCGCGTGTTGGAGGACCTTCAGGTGGCTATTGACGACTTGGGCTCAGGTGAGTCTTCAGGTGGAATCAGCTGAGCTGGTGTCCCGCCGCGTGTGGGACATGCAGCAGAAGCAGGTGTTGGAGGACCTTCAGGTGGCTGTTGACGACTTGGGCTCAGGTGAGAGTTCAGGTGGGATCAACGTGGCTTCAGGGTGGAACCAGGTGAGGCTTCAGGTGGAACTAGAAGAAGAGGGAGAGGGAGGAGATGAGTGAGGTCAGGTTGGGCAGCACGTGGTGGTTCATGGATAGCTGCTCTTTGCTTCATCAAATGCACCAGAACCAAATTATAATTAAATAAACCAAAACTGGCACATGCATGGCACATGATGCATGGCACATGATGCATGGCACATGATGCATGGCACATGATGCGTGGCACATGATGCATGGCACATGATGCATGGCACATGATGCATGGCACATGATGCATGACACATGATGCATGGCACATGATGCATGGCACGTGATGCATGGCACATGATGCATGGCACATGATGCATGGCACATGATGCATGGCACATGATGCATGGCACGTGATGCATGGCACATGATGCATGGCACATGACGTGATGCATGGCACATGATGCATGGCACAGAGGAGGCGGTATTCAACAAGCCGGCATGGGTGCAGCAGCAGCCGACCAGTGGGGCGACAGCAGGAGAGGAGGAGGACAGAGCAGCATGCGAGGAAGCAGGAAACGCGGTTACAGGGGGTGCTGGGGCAGTCAGAGAGGAGAAGGATGGTGCTGTGAGAAACGACAGGGATGTGAACAGGGAAGAAATGGGGATGGAGGAGGAGCGAAGGGTTGGGGAAAGCGGAGGAGGAGAACAGAAACGTCTAAGCAAGAGGATGAAGGTGGGAGGGCAGGTGGGGGAAAAGGTCGGGAAGCAGAGCAAGGAGAAGAAGACAGGAGACCCGTGGGACTTGGAGGAGGATGAGGAGGAAGGGGAGGAGGAAGCGGAGGAAGGGCAAGGGGATGAGGAAGAGGAGGAGCAGGAGGAGGAGGGTGTTGAAGAGGAAGAGGGGGAGGAGGGCAAGGAGGAAGGGCAGGAAGGTGGAGGCAACCGTTCCACGAAATCAAGTGCGCTGAAGCTGTTAACTGAGAAATCGGCCCTGGCAGGACAGGCGGGCAAGGGAGGGGCCAGACAGGGATTGCCGCAGGGACTGCAGCCTGCAGCAGCCCCTGATGGGCCTGGTTCTCGAGCCAAGCTGCCTGTCCGTCCCTCCCAGAAGAAGCTCCCCCGGATAACACCTCCCCCTGGGGTTGGGACTGCTGGGGCGAGAGGAGGAGTGGGCAGAGTAGGAGGGGGAGGTGGAGTAGGAGGAGGTGGAGGAAAAGGGGGAGGAGGTGGGGGGAAAGGGGGAGGGGGAGGGGGAGGGAGGAAGGTGGCTGGTGTGTTGTCAATGGCCAATGTTCCGGCCAATAGGAGGATTTTGTTTGAGAAGCTGCAAGGGAAGAAGAAGGGGCAGGGAGTAGGGAGGGTGGGTAAGGGAGGAGAGGGGGTGGGAGGGAGAGAGAAGGGTGCTGAGAAGAGTGCTGAGAGAGAAGGGAAGCTGTCCGAAGGACAAGAGGTTGTGGCTCTTGGGAGGAGGATAGAGGAGGAGAGGAGGAAAGAGGCGCGGAGGAAAGAGGATGAGAGGAGGAAAGAGGAGGAGAGGAGGAAAGAGGAGAGGAGGAAAGAGGAGGGGAAGGACGAGGCAAGGAGGAAAGAGGAGGGAGGGGAGCCTGTCAGTGATGCAGGTGCCGCTACTGTTGCTGCTGCTGCTGCTGATTCTGGCAATGACTTGAATGCGTCTGAAGGAGATTCTGTAGCAGAAGCAGCTGTAGCAGAAGCAGCTGAAGCAGGGGCAGCTGTAGCAGAAGCTATTGTAGCAGAAGCGGCTAAAGCAGAGGCAGCTGTAGCAGAAGCAGTTGTAGCAAAGGCAGCTGTAGCAGAAGCAGAGAAGGGGAGCACAGCATTGGAAATTCTCACAGAAGCAGAAGAGCCTTCATCAGCAGCAACAGTAGTGACAGCAGCAGCAGCAGCAGCAGCAGCAGCAGCAGCAGCAGTAGCAGCAGCAACACCAGGAACAGCATCACTGTTAGCACCATCGCTGAACGTTGCAACAGCAACGCCACCACCAGCAACGCCAGCAGCAGAAGTAACAGCCGCAGCAGCATCTCAATCAACAGAAACAGTAGCAAGTGCGACTGTCGGAGATACGGAATCGGCACCAGCAGCAGTAATACCGTTCCTAGCAGCAACAGCAGAAGCAATTCCAGCAGATTCATCAGGAAGAGAAGCAGCTGTGATAGAGACACCTAATGCAGAGGCAGCTTCGTTGGTATCACCTGAACCACAACCACTATTACCTGATACTGCTGCTACAGCTGCTGATGCTCCTGCTGCTACAGCTGCTGATGCTCCTGCTGCTACAGCTGCTGCTGCTTCTACAGCTGCTGGTGCTACAGAAGCTGCTGCAGGAATGGAAAAATCAGCAGTCCAAGCTGACTTAGCAGCTGTCCAATCAGCAGCACCTGAATCTGCCACGTCAGAGCCAGGTGCTGCTGACATGGCGCCGGTTGAGAAGGTGGATTCAGGGACCAGAGAAAGCGAGGGTGAAGCGAATGAAAGGAGAGTTGATGGTGAGGGGATGGAAGGGAAGGGCGATACGGGGACTGAAGTTCATAAGGAGAATATCGATCATGAGGGATTGGAGGTGAAGCAAGAGAGTGAGGAAAAGGGCGAGAGTGAGGAGAAGGGTGAAACCGAGAGTGACGAGGAGAGACCAGTCGTAGACACACGCTTCTGTTGGCCCGTGCCTGCTGCTCCTCCTGCTTCTGCGTCTCCTGCTGCCAGCACTGTCACCGCTGCCAGCGCTGTCACTGCTGCCACCACTGCTATTGCCACCACAGCCGCTACTGCTGCTGCTGCCACCGCCGTTGCGGCTGGTGCTACTGGGGCGAAGGCGAGGCAGGCAGAGAAGAGAGAGGCAGATGGATACAGGGTACGCGCCTTTCTTTCCACCGCACTCCCTACCCACCTGTCCATCTTTCCACCTCTCCCCCTATCCACCTATGCTCGTACCCACCTATCCCTCTATCTCCACACCCTTCAACTGGATGTCCGATCTCCGAAGCACTACAGATTCATCTTTCACCTGCCCCCCATTGAGGTGTATTTTGAGGCGCCTCAAAATATCTTTCACCTGCCCCCCATGCTCATGTGAAATGAGTCGCGTATGTTTTTTGAGAATTCTCAAAAAGCATACCCCCCATTCTCATGTGAAATGAGTCGCGTATGTTTTTTGAGAATTCTCAAAAAGTATACCCCCCATTCTCATGTGAAATGAGTCGCGTATGTTTTTTGAGAATTCTCAAAAAGCATACCCCCCATTCTCATGTGAAATGAGTCGCGTTTCGAGTCGACTCAGAAAACGAGATTCATCTCTCACTTGCAGAAGTGGACACCAGTTAGGTGCCATTGAGAAAATACGTGGCAGCAACTTAGGTTTCGAGTCGACTCAGAAAACGAGATTCAACTCTCACCTGCCCTCCATTCTCACCCACCCGCCCACCTTTCTCAACTGCCCACCGCTCGCTCTCACCCACCCACCTCTCTCACTGCCCACGTCCCTCCCTCCTGGCCGGCCCCTCCAGTGGAACGTCATAATCGGGGGGGCACTGGAGGAACAACAGGTGGTTGCAATGCAAGTTCCCAGTGCCCCCCACCTCCACCTTTCTTTTGCGGCGCCTCAAGAATGCAAGTTCCCAATGTCCCCCACCTCCACCTTTCTCACCGCCCACCACGTCCCCCTTACCCGCCCTTCATCGCCCCTTTCTTCCAGTGGAACAGAATCATCGAGGGGCCCTCGGAGGATCAGCGGGTGGGTTTCATCGACAACATCCCTCGCCGCACTTTCTCACCCACCTCTCTCGCTCAACCCGCGGCTGCCCACGTCCCTCCGTCCCTCACCCCTCGCTTCCAGTGGAACAGCATCATTGAGGGGGCGTTGGAGGAGCAGTGGGTGGTTCGCATCGACATGACAGCATCCCTCACCTCTGTCACCCACCCACCCACTGCCCTCGTCCCTCTCTCCCGCCCTCGTTCTGCCGCTCTCTTCCAGTGGAACAACATCATCGAAGGGGCGTTGGAGGAGCAGCGGGTGGTTCGTATTGACAACATTCCTCCCTGCACCTCTTCGCAACAGCTGCACGTGAGTTTTAAGGCATCTGGAAACAGATCTCCTGTATGGCGTTTTAAGTTTTATTGTTTTTTTTTTTTTTTTTTTTTTTTTTTTTTTTTTTTTTTTTTTTTTTTTTTTTTTTTTTAGATCTTAGATCTTAGAATTCTCAAGAAAAAGATTCAGCATCTAGAACAGAATCTCTTGTATGGCCTTTAAAGGATTCTCCAAATCACCGCAATGCAAGCTAAACTGCAACCGTCCACCACATGCCATGCATCCACCACATGCCATGCATCCACCACATGCCATGCATCCATCGTTACTCTTCTCCCCGTTCCCCACCGCATCCCCGCCCTCACAGGAGGCCATGGTTGAGCTTTTTTCAGACTTGGTGGCAGTGAGAGTGCAGCCGGCCACCACGCCCATTCCCCCCATCGCCATTCACGCTTTTGCCGTCTTCCGCACCGCTGCTGCCGCCGCCGCTGCCGTGCTCTTCCTCTCCGCCAAATGCGTCGTGCCCTCCCACTCCTCCCGGTAAGAAAGGGACGTTCTGAGGCGCCTATAGCTGGTTATAGCTGCTGCTCTTGCTGCCATTGCTTCTGCCGCCGCCGCCGCTGCTGTGTTTTTCCTCTCCGTCAAATGCGTCATGCCCTCCCACTCGTCCCGGTAAGGTCCTTTTCAGACCCCTCAGCAGCCCGCCCTCCCACTCCTCCCGGTAAGGTCCTTTTCAGACCCCTCAGCAGCCCTCCCTCCCACTCCTCAATCCTGGTTCTGCTGTGGTCATCTCTAGTGGTAAGGGCGTTCTGAGGTGCCTCAGCAGCCCTGCCGCTGCCGCTGCCGTGCTCTTCCTCTCAGCCATATGCATTGTGCCCTCGCACTCCTCCTGCTGAGGCATCGTACCCTCACGCTCCTCTTGGTGAGCCAAGCTATTCAGCAACTGCTTTGGCTACTCCCATCTCTATGTGCCGTCGCTGCTGCCGCTGCTGCTGCTGCCACCCCCGCCACTTCCGTTTCTCTCCTCCCACCCAGATGCATTCTGCACTCCCATTCCTCCCATCCTCTCATTCCTCAGCCGCTGTTCATTTTTCCCCGATTAATTGGACTAGCCGCTAACTCCCTTCCCAATTCTTGTCTGACAGACCCAGATTTACCCATCCTTCATCCGTGTATGCCCCAACTCTACCTTTCTGCTCCCATTTCTATCCTTATCCTCCACATCCTGCCTGCCACGTGCAGCCCTCTGATTGGTCGCCTGCAGCGCCCACCAGCAGAGGCACCATCAGCAGTGGATGCACCCTCAGCGTATCTCGTGTCCCACGGCCCTGGCTACTTCTCCATCCGCAACAAACGTGGCGGCCCCGGGCAGTACTCGGATGACAAGGTGAGGCGGGCGTGCATGCATGCATGGTACTGGTGATGAAGGCCAGCAGTCAACAACCAGCAGAGGCACCATCGTTGGTGGATACACCCTCGGCCTCTCTCGTGTCACACGGACCTGGCTACTTCTCCATTCGCAACAAATGGGGAGGGCCCGGACGGTACTCGGATGACAAGGTGAGGCGGGCAATATGCAGGTTGGGTATGGGCGGTGAGACAGGCTCACAGGATGGGTGTGAGCAGTGGCGCCATCAGCGGAGGGATGAGCACAGATACGAACACTTCGAGGCGAACCGAACAGGTTTTTTTTTAACCTAAAAATGTTCGTCACGAACGTGTTCGCTGTTTGCGCGAACACGTTCGATGTTCGCCCTCGTCAGATTGCCGAGCCGCTTCGAACACGAGTGTTCGTCGACGAATTGCCCGCGACCAAATTTAGGGTCGCGGCCATTTCTGTTTGAGCTCATTTTTTTTAGCTCAAACTAGTCGCGACTAGGTCGCCACCCCCAACCCGCCCTCTACCAGCCTCACCTACCAGTCTAAGGCCCTCGATGCTTCATCATTGAGGCGTCATGAGGCCAACACCTACTAATAGATTGTAGGAACTATTATGAACGGGCATGTTTAAGTATTTGGCTAGTGATTAGAGTTACCTCCGTTCAATGCACGCGAAGGTGGAGAAACTTGCCTGTGCCATAAGACATAGGGTTACTCTAACGAAATTTTCCCAGGGGCGAACACGAACGTGTTTGCCACGAACACGAACGTGTTTGCCACGAACACGAACGTGTTTGCCACGAACACGTTCGTGTTCGCCTTAGTATGCAAGATGTTCGCACTCACAGGCGAACATCGAACACCATTTTTTGTAAGTTCGGTTCGCCAAACGGCAGTGTTCAAGCTGGGGCGAACGCGAACACGTTCGTGTTCGCCCCTTGCTCATCCCTAAGCGGTGGATGCACCCTTGTGGTTGGTACTAAGAGTAAGTGTGTTGCTGACCAGAATGATTGGTACTCAGAATAGTTGCGTTACTTACCGTTATGGCTGGTACTAGAAATAAGTTAGTTACTTATCCTTATGGTCGGTCGTAAAAGTAAGTGCAAAATTTACACTTATGGGTGGTACTAAGACTATGTGCATTACTTACCCTTATGGTTGGTATTAGGAATAAGTGTGTAAGTTACCTTTGTGGTTGATACTAAGAGTAATTGCGTTATTGACTCTAATGGTTAGTACTCTGAGTAAGTGCGCACTTACCGTAATGGTTGGTACTAAAAAAGTGTGTTACTTATTTTAATGGTTGGTACTAAGACTAAGTGCGTTACTTACCCTTATGGTTGGTACTAATAATAATTGCGTTACTTCTGTACTGGTGCAGCTGAGATATTGCTCTTGCCTAAATCTTACTCACTCCATTCGCCTCAGACATCCCTTTTCCCCCTTCCATCTCCCTACTTCCCTGGCCCATCCCCCCTCCCCCTCCCCGCCCCTCCTTTTGTTTCCTCTTTTCATTAGAAGAATAGCATAACCATGTAGCACTGTGCTCGTACCCAACAAAGTTGGTACGAGCTGGGCGTGAAGTGGAGTGCGGTGCAGCGGATAATATTTTTTGCCTCATTCCCAATCACTCCACTCACCTCATTCGTCCTCTTTCCCGTCTCCTCTCCCGTCTCCCCTCCCTCCTTGATTCCTCCCCTCAGTAGAAAAACAGCATAGCCACGTCTCACTGTGCTCTTACCCAGCATAACCACATCCATTTCCCGTCTCCTCTCCCTTTTCCCCTCCCTCCTTGATTCCTCCCCTCGGTAGAAGAACGCCCTAACCACGTCGCACTGTGCACAGCCCAACATCGTTGAATACGAGCTGGGGGTGGAGTGGAGGGCGGTGCAGCAGAGGGAGGTGCACATGGTGAAGGCTTTACTGAAAGTACACCAGGCAGAACTCAACAGTCTGATGCAGAGCAACCGAGATTAATGGATTCTTTTACTGATACCCCGAGTCTTGTATGGGTGGAGTGGAGGGAGGTGCAGCAGAGCAGGGGGGGGTGAATATGGTGAAGGCGCTGCTGAAAGTCCATCAGGCGGAGCTCATTAGTCTGATGCAGAGCAACAAGAGACTGATGGATTCTTTCAGTATGTGTGGAGTGGAGGGAGGTCCAGCGTGCAGAGGGAGGTGTGTGCAGAGGGAGGTGCATGCAGAGGGAGGTGCATGTGGGACAGCTTCTTATGAGAGTCCATGAAGCAGAGCTCGGCAGTCTGCTGCAGGTGGTTGGAGATTGAGCTGATGAAGGGGATGTGTACAGTTGTAATGTACACTTGTTTTTGAAACTTACAAGGACACATGGTACAAGTAAAAAATAATCACACCCCATGAATTGCTTCTTATATCCCTTCAGCATCTTCTCTGTCAAATCGTGATTTGATATCTCTAAGCACATCTGCTACTACTGTAGCATTTGCCTGTACGGTATCCAAGCAGCCCCCATGGCTGAAAACGAGGTGGTAGGTGAGGGAGCAGGCGTGGGAGAGGTGGTTGTAGCACACGACAGCTCAGTTATCGGGCCTTATCTCGAGCACAGATGCCCTTTCCAGCATGAACACCAGGTTGGTGAGCGCTGCCCCGTGCCCCGCTATGAATAGACGTTTGCGGCGAAACAAGTTGTGAGCTGCAATGGGGGGGAGAGAGGGAGGCAAGGGTGGGGAGGGGAGAGGGGGAGGGGAGGGGAGAGTGAGAGGGGGGCAAAGGAGAGAGGGGGAGGAGAGGCAGGGGGAAGAGGCAGGGCGGACAGGGGGGTAGGGAAACGGGGGGATGGGGTGGATTGTGAAAGGAGTGGGAAGAGGCAGCGTCTGTGCCTGCTGGGGCGACAGCGGCGGGGCGACAGTGGCAGGGCGACGGCGGCGGGGCGACAGCGGCGGGGCGAAAGCGGCGGGGCGACAGCGGCGGGGCGAAAGCGGCGGGGCGACAGCGGCGGCGGAGCATGGTACAAAGGTGCGTGCCAGGACAAGAGAAAATAAAACCATACCTTCCAGAACAGTCAGCGAGCCAGTGAAGAGCACGATCCTCTCTTTGGGGAACGCCCGCTGCACCTGCACGTCCTTGAAGAAGAGGGCATTTCCTAAGGAGAGGATCATGACAAAAGACACTATCGTACCTTCCAGTACAGTCAGCGAGCCAGTGAAGAGCACGATCCTCTCCTTGGGGAACGCCCGCTCCACCACCGCCTGCACCTCGTTAAAGTTACTAATGGATCGCTTCTTAGAGAGGCGCTTCGCCAGCACCACCACCCAGTCGGGTGGCAGCGCCTGCGCCTGCTGGGGCGACAGCGGCTGTGGTGGTTGGTAGGACCAGTCGGGGCGGAAGAGAGGCAGCCCGCGTGGGTGCAGCAGGTGGGTGCGTCTGAGGGATTGCCAGAGCAGCATGGAGGGATTGCCACAGTCCTGAGTCATGGGCTGGACGAATGAAGGGAGGGGAAAAGAGGTGGAACCAGGATGGGAAGACACGTTGAGGAGAGAGGCAGAAGGAAGAAAGGCAGCCCCCGTGGATGCAGCAGGTGGGTGCAGCAGGTGGGTGCGCCTGAGGGATTGCCAGAGCAGAGTGGAGGGATTGCCACAGTCCTGGGGCAAGGGAAAGCTGAGTTTGTATGAGCGGGTGTCAGGTGGTGGCAGATAGGAGCTGTTACCCGGTGGTAGCAAGCAGGTGGTAGCAAGCAGGTGGTAGCAAGCAGGTGGTAGCAAGCAGGTGGTAGCAAGCAGGTGGTAGCAAGCAGGTGGTAGCAAGCAGGTGGTAGCAAGCAGGTGGTAGCAAGCAGGTGGTAGCAAGCAGGTGGTAGCAAGCAGGTGGTAGCAAGCAGGTGGTAGCAAGCAGGTGGTAGCAAGCAGGTGGTAGCAAGCAGGTGGTAGCAAGCAGGTGGTAGCAAGCAGGTGGTAGCAAGCAGGTGGAAGCAGGCAGGTGGTAGCAAGCAGGTGGAAGCAGGCGGGTGGAAGCAGGCGGGTGGCAGCAGGCGGGTGGAAGCAGGCAGGTGGAAGCAAGCAGGTGGAAGCAAGCAGGTGGAAGCAGGCAGGTGGAAGCAGGCGGGTGGTAACCACCCAGCATGAGCACTGACTGACCTCGTAGAGAGTGCGAACAAAGAAGAGGTCTTCACGCGCGAGGGGCATCAAATGCATTCCCTCATGTTTCTGAGACGGGTGTTTCTGAGATTTCTCTGGAAAAGCAGTTTCTCATGCTTAGAGGCGTCCCAGAGCCAGCCAGCAGAAGCAAGCAATCACTGAGTTGACTTTTGAGTCGACTCAAAAGTCGACGGGTGTTTCTGAGATTTCTCTGGAAAAACAGTTTTAGAACCGCATGCTTAGAGGCGTGCCAGAGCCAGCCAGCGCCAGCCAGCAAGCAATCACTGACAGCCAGCCAGAGCCAGCCAGCCAGCAGAAGCAAGCAATCACTGACAGCCAGCCAGAGCCAGCCAGCCAGCAGAAGCAAGCAATCCCTGACTGACCTCGTAGGTCTGCCTTCACGAGGGGCAGCGACCGCATTGCACCGTACTTCACTCCTATCAGCTCCTCGCCGAAGCGCTTGTATGCGTCCCACTGGGGACCACGAGAGAAGGATGGGGAGCGCAGGGGAAAGGGGTCATGGGAAGATGACAGGTTGCTGTGCTGCTCCGTTCCGAGGCGAGAGCCCTATACAACGGCTGACAGAGGCCAATCGTCGTACTCACCACTTTTGAGGCGCCTCAAAAGTCGTTTTTGAGGCGCCTCAACAGATGACAGGTTGCTGTGCTGCTCCGTTCCGAGGCGAGAGCCCTATACAACGGCTGACAGAGGCCAATCGTCGTACTCACCACTTTTGAGGCGCCTCAAAAGTCGTTTTTTGAGGCGCCTCAACAGATGACAGGTTGCTGTGCTGCTCCGTTCCGAGGCGAGAGCCCTATACAACGGCTGACAGAGGCCAATCGTCGTACTCACCACTTTTGAGGCGCCTCAAAAGTCGTTTTTGAGGCGCCTCAACAGATGACAGGTTGCTGTGCTGCTCCGTTCCGAGGCGAGAGCCCTATACAACGGCTGACAGAGGCCAATCGTCGTACTCACCACTTTTGAGGCGCCTCAAAAGTCGTTTTTGAGGCGCCTCAACAGATGACAGGTTGCTGTGCTGCTCCGTTCCGAGGCGAGAGCCCTATACAACGGCTGACAGAGGCCAATCGTCGTACTCACCACTTTTGAGGCGCCTCAAAAGTCGTTTTTGAGGCGCCTCAACAGATGACAGGTTGCTGTGCTGCTCCGTTCCGAGGCGAGAGCCCTATACAACGGCTGACAGAGGCCAATCGTCGTACTCACCACTTTTGAGGCGCCTCAAAAGTCGTTTTTGAGGCGCCTCAACAGATGACAGGTTGCTGTGCTGCTCCGTTCCGAGGCGAGAGCCCTATACAACGGCTGACAGAGGCCAATCGTCGTACTCACCACTTTTGAGGCGCCTCAAAAGTCGTTTTTGAGGCGCCTCAACAGATGACAGGTTGCTGTGCTGCTCCGTTCCGAGGCGAGAGCCCTATACAACGGCTGACAGAGGCCAATCGTCGTACTCACCACTTTTGAGGCGCCTCAAAAGTCGTTTTTGAGGCGCCTCAACAGATGACAGGTTGCTGTGCTGCTCCGTTCCGAGGCGAGAGCCCTATACAACGGCTGACAGAGGCCAATCGTCGTACTCACCACTTTTGAGGCGCCTCAAAAGTCGTTTTTGAGGCGCCTCAACAGATGACAGGTTGCTGTGCTGCTCCGTTCCGAGGCGAGAGCCCTATACAACGGCTGACAGAGGCCAATCGTCGTACTCACCACTTTTGAGGCGCCTCAAAAGTCGTTTTTGAGGCGCCTCAACAGATGACAGGTTGCTGTGCTGCTCCGTTCCGAGGCGAGAGCCCTATACAACGGCTGACAGAGGCCAATCGTCGTACTCACCACTTTTGAGGCGCCTCAAAAGTCGTTTTTGAGGCGCCTCAACAGATGACAGGTTGCTGTGCTGCTCCGTTCCGAGGCGAGAGCCCTATACAACGGCTGACAGAGGCCAATCGTCGTACTCACCACTTTTGAGGCGCCTCAAAAGTCGTTTTTGAGGCGCCTCAACAGATGACAGGTTGCTGTGCTGCTCCGTTCCGAGGCGAGAGCCCTATACAACGGCTGACAGAGGCCAATCGTCGTACTCACCACTTTTGAGGCGCCTCAAAAGTCGTTTTTGAGGCGCCTCAACAGATGACAGGTTGCTGTGCTGCTCCGTTCCGAGGCGAGAGCCCTATACAACGGCTGACAGAGGCCAATCGTCGTACTCACCACTTTTGAGGCGCCTCAAAAGTCGTTTTTGAGGCGCCTCAACAGATGACAGGTTGCTGTGCTGCTCCGTTCCGAGGCGAGAGCCCTATACAACGGCTGACAGAGGCCAATCGTCGTACTCACCACTTTTGAGGCGCCTCAAAAGTCGTTTTTGAGGCGCCTCAACAGATGACAGGTTGCTGTGCTGCTCCGTTCTGAGGCGAGAGCCCTATACAACGGCTGACAGAGGCCAATCGTCGTACTCACCACTTTTGAGGCGCCTCAAAAGTCGTTTTTGAGGCGCCTCAACAGATGACAGGTTGCTGTGCTGCTCCGTTCCGAGGTGAGAGCCCTATACAACGGCTGACAGAGGCCAATCGTCGTACTCACCACTTTTGAGGCGCCTCAAAAGTCGTTTTTGAGGCGCCTCAACAGATGACAGGTTGCTGTGCTGCTCCGTTCCGAGGCGAGAGCCCTATACAACGGCTGACAGAGGCCAATCGTCGTACTCACCACTTTTGAGGCGCCTCAAAAGTCGTTTTTGAGGCGCCTCAACAGATGACAGGTTGCTGTGCTGCTCCGTTCCGAGGCGAGAGCCCTATACAACGGCTGACAGAGGCCAATCGTCGTACTCACCACTTTTGAGGCGCCTCAAAAGTCGTTTTTGAGGCGCCTCAACAGATGACAGGTTGCTGTGCTGCTCCGTTCCGAGGCGAGAGCCCTATACAACGGCTGACAGAGGCCAATCGTCGTACTCACCACTTTTGAGGCGCCTCAAAAGTCGTTTTTGAGGCGCCTCAACAGATGACAGGTTGCTGTGCTGCTCCGTTCCGAGGCGAGAGCCCTATACAACGGCTGACAGAGGCCAATCGTCGTACTCACCACTTTTGAGGCGCCTCAAAAGTCGTTTTTGAGGCGCCTCAACAGATGACAGGTTGCTGTGCTGCTCCGTTCCGAGGCGAGAGCCCTATACAACGGCTGACAGAGGCCAATCGTCGTACTCACCACTTTTGAGGCGCCTCAAAAGTCGTTTTTGAGGCGCCTCAACAGATGACAGGTTGCTGTGCTGCTCCGTTCCGAGGCGAGAGCCCTATACAACGGCTGACAGAGGCCAATCGTCGTACTCACCACTTTTGAGGCGCCTCAAAAGTCGTTTTTGAGGCGCCTCAACAGATGACAGGTTGCTGTGCTGCTCCGTTCCGAGGCGAGAGCCCTATACAACGGCTGACAGAGGCCAATCGTCGTACTCACCACTTTTGAGGCGCCTCAAAAGTCGTTTTTGAGGCGCCTCAACAGATGACAGGTTGCTGTGCTGCTCCGTTCCGAGGCGAGAGCCCTATACAACGGCTGACAGAGGCCAATCGTCGTACTCACCACTTTTGAGGCGCCTCAAAAGTCGTTTTTGAGGCGCCTCAACAGATGACAGGTTGCTGTGCTGCTCCGTTCCGAGGCGAGAGCCCTATACAACGGCTGACAGAGGCCAATCGTCGTACTCACCACTTTTGAGGCGCCTCAAAAGTCGTTTTTGAGGCGCCTCAACAGATGACAGGTTGCTGTGCTGCTCCGTTCCGAGGCGAGAGCCCTATACAACGGCTGACAGAGGCCAATCGTCGTACTCACCACTTTTGAGGCGCCTCAAAAGTCGTTTTTGAGGCGCCTCAACAGATGACAGGTTGCTGTGCTGCTCCGTTCCGAGGCGAGAGCCCTATACAACGGCTGACAGAGGCCAATCGTCGTACTCACCACTTTTGAGGCGCCTCAAAAGTCGTTTTTGAGGCGCCTCAACAGATGACAGGTTGCTGTGCTGCTCCGTTCCGAGGCGAGAGCCCTATACAACGGCTGACAGAGGCCAATCGTCGTACTCACCACTTTTGAGGCGCCTCAAAAGTCGTTTTTGAGGCGCCTCAACAGATGACAGGTTGCTGTGCTGCTCCGTTCCGAGGCGAGAGCCCTATACAACGGCTGACAGAGGCCAATCGTCGTACTCACCACTTTTGAGGCGCCTCAAAAGTCGTTTTTGAGGCGCCTCAACAGATGACAGGTTGCTGTGCTGCTCCGTTCCGAGGCGAGAGCCCTATACAACGGCTGACAGAGGCCAATCGTCGTACTCACCACTTTTGAGGCGCCTCAAAAGTCGTTTTTGAGGCGCCTCAACAGATGACAGGTTGCTGTGCTGCTCCGTTCCGAGGCGAGAGCCCTATACAACGGCTGACAGAGGCCAATCGTCGTACTCACCACTTTTGAGGCGCCTCAAAAGTCGTTTTTGAGGCGCCTCAACAGATGACAGGTTGCTGTGCTGCTCCGTTCCGAGGCGAGAGCCCTATACAACGGCTGACAGAGGCCAATCGTCGTACTCACCACTTTTGAGGCGCCTCAAAAGTCGTTTTTGAGGCGCCTCAACAGATGACAGGTTGCTGTGCTGCTCCGTTCCGAGGCGAGAGCCCTATACAACGGCTGACGAAGGCCAATCGTCGTACTCACCACTTTTGAGGCGCCTCAAAATTCGTTTTTGAGGCGCCTCAACAGATGACAGGTTGCTGTGCTGCTCCGTTCCGAGGCGAGAGCCCTATACAACGGCTGACAGAGGCCAATCGTCGTACTCACCACTTTTGAGGCGCCTCAAAAGTCGTTTTTGAGGCGCCTCAACAGATGACAGGTTGCTGTGCTGCTCCGTTCCGAGGCGAGAGCCCTATACAACGGCTGACAGAGGCCAATCGTCGTACTCACCACTTTTGAGGCGCCTCAAAAGTCGTTTTTGAGGCGCCTCAACAGATGACAGGTTGCTGTGCTGCTCCGTTCCGAGGCGAGAGCCCTATACAACGGCTGACAGAGGCCAATCGTCGTACTCACCACTTTTGAGGCGC